AAAGACCTTGTTGGAGGCTGCTGCATCTGTGTGGCGGCAGGGACGGGCAGGGAGAAGGGGGGATGAACCAGGCTCCATGTCTGCTTGTGCAACGAACACTGTCAACCCTGGGCAGCAGATTGATCCCCAAACAAGGAAATGAGAGTTTAGGGATTAGCAGAAACCTTGTGCAGGCCTGAGACTTCCTCAGGTCTTCCTGTGGGAAGATACTTTGGGTCAAACTTATCTCACTTTCAAGAGGGCAGTGAGAGCCCAGTGGACATGTGAGCTGCCCATGGGTTCCATTCTCAGGAAGGCAGGAGATCCAGCCTGGCTTTCCCTTCTCCCCCGGGGAACAAACTTTGAGAATAGGACCAGCACCCAGGATCCCTCATCCCTGAGTCCCTCAGGCACTGAGAATAGGGGTGTGGGGTTGGAGCCAGGTACACCTTAGAGCCGGGGAAGGACGGCTTATGAGACTGCCCCTTTCAGAAGTGACAGAATGGAGGTAGAAATGACACAGTCCCCAGTGCGTGTCTGTTTTGTCCATTCCGGGCAGCCTGGTATGCTCAGGGGATGTTGGTCCTGGCCTCTGCCACTTGCCTGGCCCTAGATCTGAGACAGCAGATGGCAGGAATCCTGCCTGTGAATGCATGGTGATGACAAGTTAAGGTTTAGACAGAAATCATCAAGTCCAAGGGGCTCCAAAAAATGTTAGCAGAATTCTTCAAACAGCATAGTAAAGACAAGCTTAACATATAAAGCAGATCATAGGGCGGAGGCAATGGGTGAAATGGGAGGGGCCTTGGAGGCCCAACTTCTGTTCCTCACCCCTGCTGTGGGGGAGTCAAGGCACCTCTAGAATCACCTTGGAACACAGTTTAAAAACCACAATTCAATCCACTCCCATTTTCTAGATGAGACAGTGCTGCCAGTGAGCTGAGACGTGGCCACGCCTTGGCCTAGGTCATGCAGCTGGTCATGGGCAGAGCTCCTGCCTCAAAGCCTAGGTTCACCTGCCACCACAGCCACAGCACTAAAGAAACTGCTTTATGATTTCCAGATCTTGGACAGAAGGAAGTTGAACTGCCTGCAAGGTTTCTGCCTGAGTTTCAGGCCTTGTGCAGGTGAGAGTCATTTTCAAACAGGCCCTCAAAAGCCTCTCACAGCTCCTTGGAGGACGGGGAGGAAGAAACGTAACTTGTTTGCATAATCAACTCATTTAACTTTGGTCAGGGCGAATCATCACACGACTCCAGTGAAGCCTGAAAGTAATGGGTGTTATTTCATCATACAGCTGTACTGTGATCTGGAGAGTGGACCCATCTCCTGAACCTAAGGACACAGTGTCACCTCGATGCCAGCACCTCAGAAGGGGCAGGGAGTGATGGACAGAGGGACCTGAGGAGATCCTTCAGCTGCCACCTAGCCACTGCCCACCTCCAAATGCTGTCATTCCAGAAGTCTGGAGAACACGAGTTGATTATAAAAAGAGGGGCCTGCAGGCACCCTCCAGCTGGGAGAGAACAAGCAGAAATGCTGCAGCTGTGCTGTGGGACACCACGGTCCGCTGTGAGAAATGCTAGCGGAGCTAGAAAGTGAGACCAAATCCCAGTGTCACCAGAGCCAGGTTGAGCCCGGTACATGGAGGTGATAGGTTAGCTCTTTCCCCCAGCCCTTTGGGATAGCTCAGTATCGCAGGGTCACCTTAAGGAAGCAGAACCAAAGATGAAACACTTGGACCCAAATATCTCTGGGGAGAAAGTCTCTGCAAGTCTTTTTGGTATAGTGACCACTGATTTCACAGATTATCTTTCCACACCTGTGCAGGTTGTGGCCTGGGATTTGGGAAATGAGGCCACCAGGGTCCCCTGGCACCTAGTGGACACTGTGAGTCTTAACTTCCTGAGACAGGACCCATCAATGTTCCATAAGAGTGAGCTGCAGCTGGGCTGGGCTCAGGGCCCACTGGCCACCTTACACCTGGGGGGAAGGAGGGACAGGAAGGCAGATGCCCCTGCTGCTGGAAGGAATTGGCTGGGCCCTCCTCATCAGGGGCTCCAGCCTTGGGAGGTGTTCAGAGGAATCTGGGAGAGGGACTAGAATGCTGGGGAAAGTATGAAGCCCCAGGAGAGAGTGAGCTGCCTGCTGGACCAGCCCCACCACGGTGCTGACACTGGCTGAGGCAGGGATGCTCGTCTCCTTTCTCCCTTGTCTCCAAGCTGCCCTTGGAGCTGCCAAGATCTTTACCAACAGCACCTGCCTCTCCACCACTCACAGGTGAAGGGGAGAACAGAGTCATCAACCTGACCCTCTAGACACATTTCCCAGATCCTCTTATCTTGGCTAAGTAATGTTTTTGATGCTTTTCCCTTTTTGTTGTTCGTGGGAAAAAAAGAAAGCTGAATTTTCAGCTCCAGGGCATCTTCCCACCCCAGGAAGGGCGGGGCTGCTTGGCAGTAGGAGCTGGAGGCACAGGCCCTGAGACAGACCCTGAGCGGAAGAGGTTTTATAGAACTCAGCTGGCCATAGCCAGCTCCATCCTGCTCATTTGTTATTTATGCAGCGCGGGAGACTTTCCAGGCCCCCTCCCCTCAGCTGTCCCAGCTAGGGCATCGATCGATCGATCGCCCTAATGGCAAGGCTCTGCAGTGGCGGGCCTGAGCTGCCCCCTCCCCAGGCCTTCCTGTGGCTGCTAATTAGCTCGAGTCCAGAGACTTCACGTTGCAAATGGGGAACTGGGGCCCAGGGGGCCCTGCTGAGAAATGAGAGGGGGCTAAACTTAGCATCATGTCTCCTCCACGTCAGACCCTCTCCGGCTGGCTATTGCTGACACAAAGCTAAGTTGTGTGTGTGTGCTTGTGTTATGTGTCCCTAGAACTGTAAACATGGACAGAGGCCCAGAGTAGGCAGGTGGGATGTTAGTCTTTCCTGGGCCCAGGGGAAGGGGAGTCTTTGCACAGTGGCAACTCCAGAATTCCTATAAAGGGAACAGCAGTGACAGTCTCCTTGGAAGGGGGCTGGAGGACAATGTTGCAGGGCATGTACTGTTCTGACTTGGATTGATTTTTTTGTGTTCCTATAGGGCCAATGGTAGAGATTCTTGGGGTAGGGGGTGCTACAGCTCTCCAAGGCCCCCCTGGCTCCACCACTGTGCCTTTAGCTTAGAGGCTTTGCCCCCAACACCTCCCAGCCCTGGAATCAACTGTAGGTGCAGGGGCCGGGTCCCCATACCTGAGGGTGAGGGGAGCTAGGGGATATAACCTGGGGGTCACAGGCCCCTAGTCATTTGCCAGGGATGCAATCAGGTGAAAATGGCTGGCAAGAGAAATCTTGGATGACAAGACCCAGAGGTAATACCAAGGATAGCAGTCAGACCCAGTGGAGAAGGAATGTTGGCTGCTGGGAGCAGCTGAGGCAGAAGGAGGTGGGGCATTCTGCTAATGGTACTTGAATTTATGAGCATCCTTCCCACCGCCACTCGAGTGCCCTGGTTGAGACAAGCCTGCTCCTGGTGGTCAGGAGCTGCAGCTCAGATAGCACAGCCCTGGAAGCCTCTCACAAGATGCTGTTCCTCCTGCCCCAGGCCTCCATTCAGGGGATCAGAGATTAGCTTAACTTCAGAGGAACTCAAGGAATCTATAGTCCATTAAATCCCAGAGTGAAACCTGGCAGAACCAAAAAAATGTACGTGAAACACCATCCACAGCTCCATTTTTTCCATGGTCTTGTAGAAATAGTAAATTATTCATCAAAACAGAACATCAGAACCAACCATTACCATGTCCCTGTGATCTAACTTCTTGGGAACATTTGAGGTCCCCCTGCTCAGGGGCAGACTCATAGTGTGAGATGGGAAGGGGCATCTAGACACTCCTAGTTTCCTGGAAGGACACACTTTGTTGGGGGGGGGTAGGGTGCTGATCAGGGTCCCAATTCCATAGGCCATTCCACAGCAAATCTCAGAACTGAGATTTGACATAAAGGTGAAAACTGTCTGGAAGATGGCCCATTGCTCCTGAAACCAGCATTGGGAACTTCCTGCAAGTTCAGAGCTGTGAGCTTCCCCTTCTTCCAATACCTTCCAGGCCCATTTATAAGTGGAAAGTGGCTACTGATGTCTGGGGAGTGGCCTCTGAGTTGGGACCAGGAAGCTGAGGCTGCAAGATGAGCTGGGGCTGCTCTGACCCTCCCCACCACCCCTTCCAAGGGATCAGTCCTAACAAAATCAATCCAGACCAATCCATCCCCTCCCCCACTTTCCTCAGTCTCTGCCCTGTCTCCTACCTGCTCCCACCGCTACCCCCACCCCTACCCCCACCCCCAACCACAGTCCATTCTAATCCGGCTTCTCTGCATGAAGCACTGGACTCTCTTTTCCATCGGCCCAGATTTTTAAAATGTACACAATTCAAGGGACAGTTGGAAGGTTTCCCAAAATCGCTCCTCCGGTGATGGGCACAGACTCTTCCGGGGCCCTTCCACCCCTGGCCGGAGACTTTCAGAAGCTCCCTCAGTGTGCGTACCAGTTGGGGGGAGGTGGAAGTAGGGGATGGGGGGTAGGATACTCATGCCCACCTCTAAGCCCACTCCTCCGAAGCTTGGAGCAGGGGGTGTGTGAAGATGATGGAACTGGCAGTGGAGGTCCCGGGAGAATATCTTTGGCTAGTTAGTGATGGGCTTCTCCCTCCCCGCGGAGCCTGGCCCCGTCTAACCCAGCTGGGCTCCTTCCATGACCACGATCTCTTCAGCCCACACCCAATCTCCCACCCTGACTTAGATCCATTCCACAGAGAACTCAGCCGTCCCATCCCAGCTCGAGCAGCCTCGGGCAAAGATGACCCCAACCGAGGCTGGGATGCACATCTTCCAGGGGGCCCCAGCACAGAGTGAAATGGGGACGAGGGGAAGGTCACAAAGGAAGACAGAGGCAGGACGGTAATGAAAGGGATGGTAGGGGGTCCTTAGGCCCTGGGCTCCCTCCCAGGGCAGTCCTCACCGGGTGCAGGAGGCTCACTCACCGCCGGGACCACTTGGCCGACGGCCTACCGAAGGGCCGCTTCCACAGCACACCGTAGAGCTGCACTTTGGTGCTGATGTCCAGAGCGTCCGAGTCAGTCTGCTCCAGGGACGGTGAGGGCGACACCGAGTTGGACTTGGACGTGAACATCCTGCCTCTGCGGGGCTGCCGCCAGCTGGGCCCACCCGCTCCCCGGGGCAAGCACCGACGC